CTCGACTCTGACTCCACGTTCTTGGTTCGTTGTTCTTGGCCTTTGGTTCGCAGTGCTCCTCTCCAGGATTCTTGTCATCCGGACATTCTCCCACGAGAACTTGTCAGATATTCAAAGGACTTGTCTTCACCCTCCCAAGCCATCAAGATCGCTAAAGTCCACCTTGTAGATAGAAGACCTTGGTTCAAATAGTGTTGTGCAGCCCGGAGTCAACGTCTTCACACCTCCATCGCCGGAAGAAAAACTATCGTCAGAACAGTTGAACTTTTAGTGTTACGAACTTGTTGCTTGACTTGGATAGGTGTTACGCCGTTTTAAGGATTTGTTGTAAGAAAAATTTTTATATTTATTAAACGGTATACAATGGAGAACCTGTCTCAGTAAGTTTTTTCACTCCCACACGACAGTGCTGACCGCTCAACTGTCACGACGCTTTCTCCCCAATCGGCAAACCTCACATATATTTAAATTTGTAACTTCTTTTAGAAAAGCTGTTTTATTTTTCTTTACTTTTTTTATAATATAGATTCTGAGAATGAGGGGAAAATATTCCTTAAAGCATTTAATAGGCCAAAGACTGCATTGATTTTTTTTAATACAATTCAAGGAGTCATATGATTATTTTTGTTTCATTTACTTTGGTAATTACTTTATTTTCAATATTTTATAAATTTTTTATTTATAAATATTCAACAGATTAAAAAAACGTATTAATAAATTTGTAAGAAAGATTAAATTATATGTTTTTATTTAATTTACATACCTGATTACGCTCCGACATAAGAAACTCAAAATTAACAGTTGGAAGTCCTAATTCCAAATAGGTTCTAACTAATCTTAAATCTGCACTATTACCTGCAATATCAAATAACTTTAAGAATTTCAAAATATATAACTTATACATGCTATATTCTATGAATACATTCAAGCAAATTCCATATCTAAAAGAATAAGATTAATACATTTAGCCTTTTCCCCATGTTATGGTAACATATTAACAAAGGAGTCCAACTGACCTGATCTGACAAAAATTCAGACCATTAACTACACAGTTCTCCATCATGCTTGACACAGAACTATCTAGTTGAAATATACTGCTCATTCACTAAATTCTGAGTGTATATTTTAACATTAAAATATTTTGATAATTTTCCATTCATACAATTATCAGTTTTACAAAATAAAGTTCACTATTACAAATGTTAAACACAATAATTAATAAAGCAATTTAATTTATCATTGCTGCAAACAAAAACATAACAACCATAATAAATAAAATGCACTGAACTAATTATAAATATTTTAATCAGGGTTGTGGAGTTGGAGTTGTGGAGTTTTGATGTTTTAGCTGGAGTCGGAGTCGTCAAAAAATCCGCCGACTCCGACTCCTTTTTACTTACCAACTTGTTATGTATATAAAACAGAAAAGTATTGAAATCGTGTCAAATTTGACCCTCCAAGTTTTTTTTTTTTTTTTTTAATCTACACGTTTGGAGACCACCGGAACCTCTCAAAAAAAGTCAATAAAAGGGGAAAAATTTGCGTGTGTGTGTGTTGTATCTAATTTGTTTAATTTCTTTATTTTCTGTTCTGAGATATTAAACAATATTTTAGAATGGGTAAAGTTTAAGAAACGAAATGTGGCACTGTAGCTTGCATATAAAGGGGCATTAATACTATTAAATTTTGGTTCTTAATTAAAG